TACCTATCTATCATCTATCATCTAATCTATCTATATAATCTATCTATCCATCATCTATCTCCCTGTCATCTATCGTCTGTCATCTACCCATCATCCAGCTATCTATCTATCTATCTATCTATCTATCTATCTAATCTATCATCTGTCTACCTTCATCTATCATCTGTCTGTTGATCTGTCATCTATCTATCAACTATCCACTATTTACGTCATCTATCTAATCTACCTATCATCTAACTATCTACCTATTATCTATCTCTCTATCTATCTATCATCTCTCTTTCTGTCTTTCTATCTATCTATCATATGTCTATCTTTCTAGACGGGGTCTCACTTTGTTGCCCAGCTGGTCTTGAACTCCTAGCCTCAAGGGAGCTTCCCTCCTCAGCTTCTCAAAGCGTTGGGATTACAGGCATGGGCCCCTGTGCCCTGCCTTTACATTTTATGTACTGAATTCAAAATCCATTTACACTGCTGACCTGCGGCTGCTCTTTTTCTGAGTTTTATAGTTAAGCAATTTTTGACAAATAATTGCGAAGCCTTCAGAATGATTTTTAAAATTAATTTTTAACTACTAGCTATCTTACAAAATCACATATGAGAGAAATGACATAGCAACTTCTGTACCCACACTAGCAGCAGCTTCGGGGTAGAGGTGGGCGCCCGGAAGAGAGCCGCCCTGTGTGCCCAGCTTGGCTGCTGCAGGTGCTGGGCAACTATTTCATCTCCTCAGCCCTGACAGGGTGGCTCTGGGTGTGGCATCCCTGGGGCCATGGTTGTCTCCTCCTGGAAGCTTCTTTCCAGCTTCCCATGATGAGAGAGACTCTGCTAGCAACTGGGACCCAGAACTGTGCCAGTGTGTTCTAGGAGGAAAGGCAGGGCCCTGGAGCACGGGGCCACCCACCTGCACCAGGAGCAGTCTTTCACATCGAACCGCAGGAGGTCATTGAGCATGGTCTTCCTGAAAGGCAGTCGGAAGAGAGGGTGGCATTAGCCAGGTCTGCTCTGCAGGACCCCCAGAGATGGGTACTGCATGTAGCCAGGGTAGAGGAGGGGGCTGTTTGGGGCTGGGTCACTAACACAGCCAGGCAACCAGCTGATGCCCAAGAGTGGTGACCACAAAGAAGGCTCCCCAACTGACATGGGCACCAGGGCTGCCACACAGGCAGCCACCAGCCTGCCTGGGGTCAGGACCAAAGCATGAATGTGGCCACCAGGAGCCCAACCAGCAGGCACGAAATGGCCCAAAGGCCAGAGTCACCCTCACACCTCACCCTAGCCTCCAGAACCCCTATTCACACGTCCCAATCCCCTTCTTCTGAACTTGCAAGCACTTGCCCATGCTTCAGGGGAGACCCTTTACTTCTCTCTGATCTTCCTGCCACTGCTTTAAAAAAAAAAAATAGAGTCAATGCGCTGGGCTCAGTGGCTCGTGCCTGTAATCCCAGCACTTTGGG